ATTAATCCTATGTAAAATCATAAATGTAAAACAATTTGAACAAAATTTTAAAGTTGATAATGTGACAATACTAAAATACTATCAACTATGCAAACTATGCAAATTTCAAGACTCAGCATAGAGTGCTTATACTTTAAATTAGCGTTACCACTTATTTTTTTTTCCTTAAGGATATAGTCTCAAGTTTTGATTAAAAAGATATTACCTAGAGAAAGATAAGAATTATAATATTATAATATCAAATAAATAAAAACAACCTAATGCTTAGTACGGGAAGAATTTACTGAAAGATCTCTACCAATTTGAACATTTTATAGCCATTAAAAATAATCATTCCCCAACACCAGACACACAAAAAGAAAAGCAAAAATGATTATTACAAATACTATACATGTGAATATAATAACATGTGAGTTAAAACCAAAAACATAAAAATTATGTACATTAAATTTTTGACCAAACAGAAAAACTTCAGGAAAATAAAGCAATTAGTATAATAATTGTGTTATATTGACACTAGTATATAGGGAGAAGATTTTTTATACTTCATATTTTTCTGCAAGTTTTTTATGTATAAAAAATAAGTGAAATGCCTTTTTAAGGGGATCCCAAACACCATGTATTCTACAATACTGATTTTTCTATCTTTAAAACAAATGATATTTCCTTTTCTCTCTGTCAGACTACCTTATGGCTTGAATTATGTTTTCTGATGGAACTCAGCTTGACTATCCTTGAGTATTTCTATTTGTGCCTGTCCCCTTTATATGATAATGAAGATACAGTGTGTGTCTTTCTTTGATGTTTAGGGATCCTGGAACACCTGTATGTTGCATATAATAACAGTAAATGTCAAATAAGGAAATAAAGTGCATGTTGAGTTTCTAGACTGAAACTTTGAAATCTAAAAAGACACTTCTGGCCCTGCTTTTCTTACATCAATGTTTTTGCTCATCAGAAAACATGAGGTGTTGACTCTAGTACCTTCAGGTGTACATAATAGTCCACCATAAAATATATAATTCTCTTATCCTTTCTGGAGAGGCTGGCATGCTCCAGGAGTGAAAAGACTGTTTACTTAGCTGTCTTGAGTATTAACAACCCAGGATTACTCCAAGTTGAATTCAGGTAGTATATAAAGAACCTCTGAATACTTTTTGTGGTAGCTACAAGATGAGAAATCCAGACAGAGAAAGGGAGAGATAGAAATAGAGATAGAGATGGAGATTGAGATGGAGATGGAGACAAGAGAGAGAAATATAGTTGGGTAAGAGAAAAGGAGAGAAAGAGAGAAGGAGAAATAAAAAGAAATGAGTGTGTGTATTTGTGTACTTACCTGTGTGGATCCATATGACCTTTTGCATTTACAGCAATGATTTGTCAATTTGATTCAGAAACCTGTAGCTTCAAATTGAAATTATCTTTCACTTAATCCCCTTTGTTTATATGGGCTGCTAACAGATAAATTCTATGCCTCCTTTATACTTTCAAAAATACTGAATTCATTATGATAAAAAATAAATGTTGAAAATAACTTAAATCTAAATTATGAGATCTTAGTTATTTCTATTTTTG